TAAATACCCACGAATATATGCTTACACGGTATACCGTGTCAAACCATTGTAAACCATGTGTAACTCGGGTAGTGTAAGAGACAGCCCGGATAGTTAGTAGTTTTCATTAGATGGTGTAATGGTTGGCAACACTGCGGCGGCCATATTTAATCTTATTGGAGAAAAAGNAAATAGATTTACAATCCCTTAATTGATGGGACGACTTGAGACAGTTGTAACACAATTTCGCCTCTGTTGTGTATGACATACGGTCGTCTACGGATTTAGCGAGAAACGATTTACAACGTGTTATTGAATGACAATCAGAACACAATGTGCACTTCAAAACCGGTTTGTTATTATTTTCAGACGTTTCACTTTGACTCCGGTTAGAGTTATTCGTTAATAAAGTATGAGTCACATTGGCGCGCTTTGAATAATTATTAAAAGTCGGTTTTGATGTTAAACGTGTATCTTTGGCCGAGTTAATAGGTTTTGAACTATCAGAAAAATGACTATCACGCAATAATGATTNTTATTATTATTATTTATATGTTTGCGATTTTTTTGATCTCAGCTATAGAGCTGGTATAATATAAGATCAGCTACGGGCATGGCCTGTAATGGTTGGCAACACTGCGGCGGCCATATTTAATCTTAACTGAGAAGAAGCGAAATGCAGACATTGTTGGTTGTACAAGTTGTGATATCTTACGAAGAATAAAACCCCAAGTGTTAATAATAAAAGCAGCATTTTATTTAAATATCAGACCTACATATAATACATGGCGCAGTCGGCTTCAAGAACCATTAAGAAGTTATGAAAACTGACGAAAATCACGATACGAAAAACCACTCCAAACACGTGCAAGAAAAATTACAAGAAACCGAAGAAATGGGCACTCCTCTCGAATTCAAAATGCCTCAACCACTTCAGATGGACTCTGTAGGTGACGTGCTTACGAGGTGGAGAAATTTTAAGCAACAATTAGCAGTATTCCTATTGGCATCCGGTTTGGAAAAAGTCACAGAAAAAAGAAAGTCCGCCATTTTACTGAACTGCATAGGCGAGGAGGGACAAAACATCTACTTCAATATATTAAAGAAATCAGAAGAAACACCTAAATATGAAGATTTGCTAAGAGAATTTGATACTTACTTTGAACCAAAGCAGAACGTGATCATAAGCACCTTCAACTTTAACAGCAGAAATCAGGAAGACGGGGAATCCTTTGACAGTTTCTACTCTGAAATAAGGAAATTGGTAAAGAACTGTCACTATGAAGACCAAGAAAACAGAATGCTAAGGGACAGAATTGTCATGGGTATCCGAGACAGGAACCTGCAAAGAAAACTCCTAGAAACTAATAACTTAACCCTGGAATCAGCACTAGACCAATGCAGAGCTGCGGAACTATCACGGGAACATATCAAGATCATTCAGAAGCAAGAAGAGTCACTCAAGGTCGATGCAGTTGTCCCACAAAACCCTAAAGTTAAGTACAATAGGTACATTTCACAAAATAATTACAACAAAACTTTTTATCATTGCAAAAAATGTAACAGGGAACATGGCCCACGGCAATGCCCCGCTTATGGTAAAACTTGTTCACTATGTAATAAACTTAATCACTTCGCTCAAGGTTGCAAAAACAAAAAAGTTAATTCAATTGAGACAGCCAGTACTGATGATAACTATGTTCATAACTTATGACTAGTTAAAGCATGTCACTCCATCGGAGGTAAAAAGTTAATTGGTGGAAATGAGTGGCAAGTAATATTAAGAACAGAAAATAAAAAAGTTACTTATAAATGTGATACCGGGGCTCAAGTAAATGTGATCTCATTAAAACACTTGCAACAAATTGTCAATGATGAGAACCCTAAGTGGTCTGAGACAAACATTTTATTAGAAGCATTTGGGGGTTACAAAATTAAACCAGTAGGTAAAATAATATTAACAATATATTTGAATGATGAGTTGGGTAAAATACCCACTGAATTTCTAATAATAAAAGAAAATGTTTGTCCAATACTCGGTCTTAATTCACTACTAAAATTAAACTTGTTAAATTCAAATAATATCAATCTATCACAAACAAGTAATAACTGCATAAACAGCGTAAATGCTCAAAGCAAAGATATAATTATTAATCAATATCCCGAACTTTTTCAGGGCATAGGACAATTTGACACACCGCTGGAACTGCACACTCAACCAGATGCACAAATTGTAGTGAAACCACCGCGACGAGTTCCACAGGCACTAATGGATCGCCTAGCTCAAAAACTAAAAAGTTTAGAAGAAAATCAGATTATTGAGAGAGTTGAACATCCAAAATCATTTGTAAGTAATCTTGTCATAGTTGAGAAAAGTGATGGTAATTTGAGAATTTGTCTAGACCCTCAAGACTTAAATAAAGTTTTAATAAGAGAATTTCACCTCATTCCAACTTTGGATGAAATAGTAAACAAATTAAGTAATAAATCAATTTTTTCAGTACTAGATTTATCGGATGGGTTCTATAATATTAAACTAACAGAAAAATCAACAGACTTGTGTTCATTTAGTACTCCCTTTGGCTGTTACAAATTTCTCAGATTACCATTTGGTTTGTCAGTAGCATCTGAAATTTTCCAAAAATACACTGAAAGAACCTTTGGTGACATACCTGGTGTTGTAATATACTGCGATGATTTGTTAATATGTGCTGAAAACGAAATTGAACATGATAAAATATTAAAATGTGTACTAGAAAGAGCAAAAGAAAGCAATGTTAAATTTAATAAAAGAAAATTTCAGTATAAGCTGAGTGAAGTAAATATTTTGGTCACATTTTTTCTAAAGAGGGAATGAAAATTGATCCGGACAGAATTAAAGCCATTATGAACATTAAAACTCCAATAAACAAAAAAGAACTTCAAATATTTTTGGGAATGATTAATTACTTAAGAAACTTTGTTAATAAACTAGCTGACTTGACAACACCATTAAATACCCTCTTGAAAAAAGATGTGACATGGTTATGGACGGAGTTGCATGAAAAATCTTTTAATAACATTAAAAAGTGTATCAGTACAGCACCAGTATTGCAAAATTTTAATTCTTTATTACCAATTACAATTCAATGTGATGCAAGTAAGGATGGATTGGGTTGCTGTTTAATGCAGAATGGGAAACCTGTATGTTATGCTTCAAGAAGTCTCACTAGTGCAGAAAGAAATTTTTCCCAAATAGAAAAAGAGTTACTAAGTATTGTCTGGGCAACAAAGAAATTTCATTACTTTATTTATGGTAAAAAGTGCACTATACTTAATGATCACAAACCTTTAGAGAGCATATTAAAGAAAGGTATCCATGCAATTCCGTCAGCTAGATTGCAACGAATGAAACTAAAATTGTTAAAATATAATATTGAATTTAAATATCTAAAAGGTCGTTTAATGCATATAGCAGATCTATTGTCTCGTTCATATTTAGAGGAAACTGAGGATGATCAATCTTACATGTATGAGGTAATACACTGTATAGGTCTTGCAAACTATTTACAGTGCTCTGATGAACAAAAACAAGAATTGTTGATAGAAACATCTAAAGACATAGAATTGTCAAAATTATTAGAATTCACCCAGAATGGCTGGCCAGATAAAAACATACCAGATAACTTAAAACATTACTATAAATTCAGAGACATTATAACAATTGATCAACAACTCTTGTTCATGAATGATAGATTATTGGTTCCAACTTCTCTTAGATTAAAACTCCTACATAAAATGCATGAAGGGCACCTAGGAATGACAAAAATGAAACAACTGGCTAGAACTTTGTATTATTGGCCCAATATNTTCAAATTACGTGGTGCGTTTATTTTATTTTTATTAAATATAAGAAAAAAAATTTTTTTCGTAGGAATAAGGACCACCCTACTGAATATAGTATGTGGTTGTATAACATCGAGTTAGCTGCGCATCTGGCAGCCGTGACGTCACATCGTTGCTCTGGTACGGGACCGGGTGAACGCAGAGAGATGTGCAAGGGAGAGTCGCATTCCAGCGAGGTACGAGTTAACTCGACCGGGGCACAACCGGGCGTAGAACAAAACTCGTAGAATGTCTCATCTGTCACTAAATTTACTAAAAACTTAGTATACTTTCTTTATGGGAGTCTCTTGTTTATCTTAAATAATAGGTATTGTTACCTACTTTTATCTCTGTGAATACGGCAAGAATGCAAAGTAACACGGTGTATAAGATAAATAAAGTGTTGGCAACTAATAATTTATTCGATAAAAAATACTAAATCACAGTTTGTAGGTACTGTAGCTATTTTTATGTCGATCAGGTTATAATATTGTGTTCTTTCGTTTGTTTTAAGCAAATGCCGTCAATGATGGACATACTAATTACCTAAAATACATAGATTTTTGAGAAGATAAGCTATAGGTCAGTATAAAAATATTTTTCAGAAATAAAACCAGATAGAGACATATTTTATATTTTATTAATATATTTTTGTACAGTTATCGTTGTGAAAAAAGGATATACATTTTCACTATACAAGGCTTGTGTCAAATTATTTTTATTTGTTGTTTTATACTTATGTTTTTAACTGCTTTTGAGACCTTGTGTAATGTAATAAACAATCCAGTCAAGTTAACTGGCCGTGACTTCACATTGACGCGTGAGACCGGGGCGAACGCGGGAAGATGTGCGGGTGAGTGCGAGGGAGAGACGCATTCCAGCGAGGTGCGCAGTTAATCTTAAAGGTTCGACCGGGCGTAGAGCAAAAAGTATTTTAATGTAAACCCTGGTCTGTGAGCACGTAGAATTTTGTCCAATGACCCCAAGCTACCCATCCTTATCGCCCGCGCGTAATTATATTGCTGTCGCGACTGTACGACGGGCGCCCGCAGTGAGTGTGCGAGCACGACAGCAACATAATTACGCGAGCGATAATGATGGGTAGCTTGGGGTCATTGGACAAAATTCTACGTGCTTACAGACCGGGCTTTATAACGATAACCGGTGCTTTTTGTATGGAGTTTGACAGATTTCTGACGTATGTCAAAGTTATTGTAAGATGGCGCAACCCAGCTTAAATCACAGTTTGTACTGTAGCTATTTTTATGTCTCTGAAAAACATAACCCTCCTTCTGACGTAGTCGGGTAAAAAGAACATGTATTCGTCTTCTTCTATAAAAAAAACTCATTATATTTTTGCAAGTAGGCTTTTAAAAGCACTTTTACTTCTTCTTTGCCCTAGCCCTTTCCCATTGTTGGGGTAGGCTCTGTCCTATCTACATACATAATTTATTATTATACTATGTATGTTTAAATAGTTTATTTAACAACGTTGATATAATCAAGGTATACTCCTTCCAGCTGTTGAGTACAGATCATCATAATGGGCCTTCTTTTCAGCCATGTAAGGTGTTATTTTAGAATAATTCAGCGCTGGTTTTCCAATTAATTGAAAACTGAGATCCGTGTCGGTCGCTGGCCAGTCACTGTCGTTCTTCACTGGTGATCTGTAAGGAAGAAAGAAAGAAATATGTAATTATTAGTTCCAAAATACCTAATTAATTATAATGTGCAGATAGTGAGCATGAATCAATTTTTGAACTAAAATGGCATGCCCTAGGGTAGTGCATTATGTTCAGGGGAACATAATGCTTAAGTAATAGCACAGGTAATAGTCTTTTATTAATAAATCAGTTGTACAGGACAAATTAATTGACAACGTGATACTTTAATATATTAGATAATTGTAGGTGTGGTATAGAGACAGTACTAATGTTCGTTGACTCAACCATTTATCTATCTCAAAACAATAAAAAAAAATCTTAATCACCATAATGTATTGCCTACGATGAAAAAATTTGCAAAATTGTATAACGTCGAAAACTGTTGTCAAAAAACTGCAGGCGTAGGATTTTTAAGCGCAAACACAATAACCCATAAATATTTTTACTTCTTACCCAGTCGAAACAAAATTGGCAATGCTTGTCGTCATGAGTTCTTTCATTTCACCGTCAGTAGTGCCCGACATTTCATCCTCATCAGTTATGGGGCCCAAGAACGAATTCACCCTGAAGAAATAAGTTATGTCTTCCACATGCCCGGCGCCAGTGAAATTCAGCCCAAACGATTCTTTAATGGGACTATGTTTCCCTGTATATGTGAACTGGTACATGTAGGTCTTCGCGGCTCCAACCGCCAACCTCTGTAGAGATAATCTCTGTGCTAGATACAGGTAGTCCATATCAATTAGCGCTCGCATAAAATCATCCAAGGTCACACGGATAAATTTCACGTACTCTGACCTCTGCTTCGCCAAAAGAATCGGCAGTATCAAAGGATTTGCTGAAAACACCAAATTCAACGGCACTATCAACACCGGTGCTAGAGTTAGCGTCGTAGGCATGTTTAATTCTAAAAATCTATTCGTGAAAGAATGACTTTCGTTGTTCGCAAAGCCTAATAGCACAGGGTATTCTTTTCCGATGCCTTCTTCGTATAGTATTTCTGGATCTTCAGAAATCATAGTTGTGAAGTTTTCTTGTGGCTTTTCTATAGTTGGAGCGAATGAAGTGACACCAAAAATGTCTAGGATGACTTTGTTTGCGGCCAATATTTTTTCTATCGGCGCTTTGACAAGCTGGTCATGGATCTGCTTTGGTGATAGAATAAGGTAAGGTATTCTCATCTCCGTGAAGAAAAGTGCGTTGACCACATCTCTGTAGCCTGCGGAGTAGCTGAAGAAGCTAACGATTCCTTGTCCACTGAAAGCCATGCACCTGAAAATGTAATAGATAAGCAATTTCTGTAAAGTTCGCATCCATTAATTACAGTAATTAATTAGTTAAATTGGACCAGTTAATCAACAATCAAAAGTCAACCAATAAATAGTAATAAAACTTAATCTTCTTAGTTTATAAATCAAGTTATATGTTAGTGCCTAATTTATCGCCATGGCAAGGATGTACAGCACTGTATGTTGGTATTTTATTGCAACTGAAAAGAGTAGGTACCGGAGTAAAAAGAGGTTCCAATCACGTTTTGAGTTTATGTCACCTATTTTTTCAAATAAATTATTTAAAAAATTAAGCAAGTAATGCTCACTGTTTGAAGAGTCCGCTCGAAGCAGGCGCCAAGGTCAGCAAATGTGCCATTACGGCACCAGCGCTCTGCCCCCCCACTGATACCATGTCAGGGTTCCCTCCGAAGTTCCTTATGTTCTTCTGCACCCACTTCAGAGCGGCGATGGCGTCTCTCAGACCGTTGTTGCCGGGAAAGTACTCGTTATCCAGACTTAGGAAGCCGAAAACGTGCAGTCTGGAATAGAGATGTCAAGAAAATTAACAAATAAATTACTTATTTAGTTCGTTCTTTCGTTTTAGCCAAATAACGTCCACTGATAGACAAAGGCCTCCCCTAAGGTTCTTCATAATGAACGGTCCTGCGCTGCCCGCATCCATCCGCAGAATTGATCAAATCATGTGGCAGTGGCTGGGGCACATAGCTCGTAGAGACGATGCCCGTTGGGGCAGAAAAGTTCTCGAGTGGCGACCACGGCCTGGAAGAAGTAGCGTGGGCAGGCCTCCTACTAGGTGGACCGACGATTTGAACTAATTTAGTACTTAGTCCCTTTCCAAGGTGCTTGTACACGCTCCAAATATAGCTTGCCCTACCACCACTTCGGGATAACATACAGGGTGTCCCAGAATGGGTGAATCAAACTGATAGGGGAGGTAGCTCTATTAATGTACCTACTATCCCTAAAAAATATGAAAAAAAAAATAAAGCGCATAGGGACATAATTTTTTTTTTTAATGAAAATGAATCAGCTTTGCCTAAGTATCTGGCTATATTGCTGCGTTTGAGTTTATTTGTCCTTGTTTCTTACTAATATTAATTGTACATGATCATTTCGTTTATCTGTAAACAAGCTTTTGAAAATAATGACTAGATTTCAAGTTTGGAGCACATTAGTAAAAAAAAATATATTTTTAGGGATAGTACATTAGTAGAGCTAACCCTATCAGTTTGATTCACCCATTCTGGGTCACCCTGTATAGGCTGGTGCTGAGAAGTGGCGGAAGAGACTCATGCCCGTTTTCACCATCAATCCCTAATTTTTAAGTGACCCCTATGAAAACAAAATTCCTATTATGTGTTACCATAGGGGTCACTTAAAAATTAGGGATTTATGGTGAAAATATACATAGGTTAACTGAGAAACTAAGGTAAGCTACTCAGTTAACCTTGAGTCAACTAGTTTACTGACTAATCTGATCAGATTGCGCTGAAAGGCACGTAGATTGATTTAATAATTATTTTGCAACCTCTAAGAGAAAACATTCCAAAATTGGGGTGAATTTTAAGGAATGAATGAAACGAGGGTCAGTTGTGTATCGCGAGCGATGCTACGGGCAAAAGCAAGTATCTATTGCATCGTTGAATTTTTTTAAGTTCAAGTTTCAACAAAGTAAAACACTTACGCCTTTATCAGTTAACTTGTTAAATATGTATAAGTAAGTATCTACTAATTTTATTGACATGACGCATAGCAATGGATTTTCAAGGTTCTTCCTTTAGTTTTTCTCGTGCAATTTCAGTAAAACTGACATTAACTTATTCGACCAATTTTTTATCAGTTTCATGCTCTTTAAAACTAACACCAAGAATTTTTCAGAAATGTAGAGTTAAATTTTAACGACCTTATTGCATGTTGTGAGATGGTATTTAAAGAAACGGGATTCAAATAACCTTAAAAAATACACATGAAATATCGAATGCTTACCTATACGGGACTATTTCCACCTCTCGTTCCCACCGCTGCAACTCCTGTGTAGCTCTTGGCAGAGCGGTCGTGGTCACGTTGAGGCGTTGTTCACATCGGTTATAGAGGCGGATACAACTCTCCGCACGATCTCCCGCCATCTCTCTCTATTGGCAGACTGTCTGGTGCAGTCACATTCGCCGTCTCCCACTGCTGATTTAACTTGGTCGGTCCAGCGCATTGGTGACCTGCCACACAGCTGATCTACAGCTTGGCCTCCAATAAAAACTCAACCAGTGAAGGTCAAGTTTTTCCCGGGACAAAAGCTTTCATTGGACCCGCAACGAAATTAATCAAATGCTTACCTATAGTTGATGGTGACCAAAATGACGTCTTTGGTGACCAGGTACTCTGGTCCATGCAAGTCGGGATCCCCCGAGCCCATCGCAAAACCACCTCCATGTATCCAAAACATGATGGGCAGGAGTTCAGTGTTATTCGAGCTGTCTGAGATGTTGGGAAGGTTCTTGTATGGCACGTGGATGTTGATTCGGATGCAGTCCTCGCTCATGTCCCTAGGCTGCATCAGGGATTTGTAGAAGACGTCCGTTTGAGGACAAATGGGGCCAGTTTCTGTTGCGTTGAAGACTCCATCAAAGGGCTCGGGTGGTTGCAGCTCCTGGAAAGTATAGTCGAGATCTGTGGTGGTGTGGTGGTGTAGAAGAGATAAGTATTAGAAGGCTATAGGGCGATATGTAGTCCACATAGGACCTCCCATGCCAAGGCCAGGGTCGGGGATGTAGGCTGATAAATTAGAGAGGGTCTTTCTAATGCAGTGGAGACTAAGGCTAAGTTGCACCATTTTACTTTACTTTAACAAACGTCAGAAATCTGTCAAACTCCATACAAAAATCACCAGTTATAGTTATGGTTAAAGTAAGATGGCCTAAATGATCTGAACCTGACTTGATGATGACGGACGTATCTAGTCAGTTCGTTATATCTATCGTTTATGAAATTCAGCATATGATTTGGTGAAGGTCGCTGGAAACACTTGGACGCACTGCAGGACCGGTCATTGTCGAAATCCTTGGAGGAGACCTTTGTCCAGCAGTGGAGTTCTTTTGATTGAAACGACACACATTTATCGTCGTTTCAATAAAAAGAACTCCACTGCTGGACAAAAGACTCCTCCTCTATTAAAGGAAGTAGGTATAACCGTCCAACATACCTTGAACCGCAGTTCTCCCAGAGGCGGCTTAGCGTGCCGGATCCCTCTGAAGCTGGCGTAGTCCACCCCATTGTTGGCCTTCCTGATCCTCCCACACACATACCCCTGCTCGGTCTTGGCGGCCACCTCGCAACCGGAGAGATCCGGGTCGCAGAGGCATGCTATAAACACGAGGAGAAAACCTCTTTAAAAACAACTGGAGAAGGGGATTGGGGGTTCCCTCGAAGCCGGAGAAGCTCGCTCGTGACGAATGTCCGAGCTAGTACAATAACTCGCGGCTCCGTTTCTTTGGGCTCTGGTGGAAACGTCGGGTCCGTCGGGTTTTAGTGGGTAGGCCCCGCCTGCTCACTACAGGCGTCCGAGAGTCCCATATAACCCGCTGGCCGTCCCCATCACCAGAGGGTATGCGCAAAGCATTTCCCGACGTTAAAAAAAAGAGGCATGCGAAATCCCATAATCAAAAGTGGTGCGTCCCAGCCCAGGCGCCAAGCTATAGCGCCTTTTGATTATGTACGGAATAACTATTACCTTAATAACAGTAGGGTAGGAGTCCGTAGAGTAAAGATACCGGTATTCGGCATTACAAGTCTTACAGGCTTTTTACAACAATAACGCCTTTCGAAGTAATGAAATGAAACATTTAAGAAAAAAAGTTTAAAAATACTTAAATGCCAACATAATTATTATAAAAAAAAATTAAAGAAAGGAAATATTAAAATCCCGTTTTACGGTTTTATGAACATTTTCCGAAACACTTTTATTGTCTCAAACAGTCCAGCTCTAAATAAATGCAAATTAGGTTGTTGCACTAATTAAACCATCTTAATTAGGTATTCTTTCCTTGATGCATTGACGTATTTCGCGTCTACTTTTGAAATAGTGTTTGCATTTCTTTCGCACATGCGTAAAAACTATGTAAAAACATGTTAAAGAGTTTTTACGTAGGTGATAAATATGTAATAAAAAATCCTTTATTACCTAAAATATAATTACAAATGGTTATGAATAGAATAGAATACAAGTTTTTAGCTTATTGTATCGTGATACAATATAGTGCAAATATAACTGATCATTGGATGTGTATGTTAGGGCTGTTAGGGAAAAAAATTGGAAAAGAGTAATCGTTAAAAATCAATTTGTTAACAATTTTAAAAGTAGACATCACTTATTCGTTAATTAATCCGCTATTCGCACTTATAACCTCGTTATTTAACAATTATCTATAGATTAACGTCCATTATATTGTCTATTACACACTACCAACCTAATGCCACTTGAAAGAACCTCGTTTTTAAATAATTATAATTTTAATATTACTGAAATTCAGTTTATAATCCAAAAATGCCTTATATATTATTTAACACTAGATGGCTCAGCGAATTTCGTACCTCCCATTAATGTGTGAAATGAGATGTAAATTGAGGAAATTGTGTGCGACATGAAATGTAAATTGCAAAAAATAATAGAGTAAAAAAAATTCAGTCTTGTCTTTAGGGATGTTATGGATATGTAGTTATACGGTTATGGATACGGTTGTGGATATAGGAATAATATTATATTGGTTTCGGTTACGGTTACAGAATTTTTTTTATTTCGGATATCCGAAAGTTTCGGTTACGGTTTCGGATATTTTTTTATTTCGGATATCCGAAACTTTCGGTTACGGTTTCGGATATCCATAACATCCCTGATGTCTATCAACCCTATTGTACGATTCTAATGGTGAAAGAATTTCTCAAATCGGCCAGTAATTTCTGAGCCTATTCAATTCAAACAAATAATAAATCAAATCTATTTATCTGCCTTTATCATAGTGTAGAAGCGCAGACAATGCTTTTTTAACCAAACCATGTGTTGAAAAAAATTAGTTACCTAAGTATGTATCTTTTAGTAATTATAATAAAATACTTACCCGCACAAGATAAAAGTAAAACACCCAACACTTTAAATGCTAACATTACTGTAACACACGCTCAAATGGCATTAAAATAAATTCTTTTTAATTATATAGTAGTTTACTTTTGCACAGCTGGTTTTAGGCTAATGTCTGCCAATTATACATAATTGTTTTCTACCAATCATTTCACGTCATGGTCAGATGTCGTAGACCTGAGTAAGATTAGCAGTATCATTACATTAAAACATGTAACAATACCAGAAATACGAAAAACTGTCCAAATGTCAAGCAACGCAAAGTGGGTGGTTCATTATTATACTCGTAGTAATACAAAACACAGTGAAACGAGAGACCTCCATAACTGGAAATCATGCTGAGGTCCCGACTCATAGTACGTTATTTTATTTTTGCACCTCTATAACTGAAATAACCTGTATTCTGACCTCTATTTATGGAAACCTCTGTAAATGAGACAGATATTTATTTATACCTGGATATCTGAGACACTGGGTAAGTGAAATACCTCTATAAGGGCTGATTTTTCAATCGTCGGATAACTTTTAACTAAAGAATAAGTTTGGCACATTGACAGTTTTAGTATGAGAAATATGTCAAAATGACAAGTTTATTCTTCAGATAAAAGTTATCCGACTATTGAAAAATCAGCCCTAAGTGAGACTTTGCAGGTTGTTAGGAGTTAGAACTTAATAATATTTAGTCTGCCACGAGGGGTTAACGGGCTTTTGCAACATTTTTCTTTACTGCTCCGCCCCTATTGGTTGTAGGATGATGCCTAAAGCCTTCCTCGATAACTGGACTATCCAACACAAAAGTAAAAAAAAAAAACACTACATCTTTATAATATTAGTATAGATTTGCATACATTATCTTGGGTGTCATTTCCCGTAATCTGACTTAGTTTTTTTTATTGTTAGGAAAATAGACAGCATTTTATAAAATTCATAGAATTACTAATTAAACCTCACATTTTCCCAAAGATTTTAAACAAATAGTTCTTACATAAGCATCGTTATCCGACGATTTCATTTACTTAGCATAAATCTATTTACGTTATGTTCCGAAGTGTTGATTAGAATCAATTAAAATAAAATTGGTAAGTAATTTACAATTGATAACACTTGATTAAAATACCTAATTGAAAAACAGTTCAAGAATTAATTGTGAATAGATAACGATACTGCTGGGCAGGTCTGCTAAGTGGACCGACGATCAGGTGAAGATCAGCACAGGTCGTTGTGGAAAACCTTGGGGGAGGCCTTTGACAGCAGTGGACGTCATTCGGCTGAACGAACGAACGAATGAACTGCTGGCTATTGCTCCTTTAGTGTCATAAGATGCATGGAATTCCTCGGCTAGTGGGCGTGGTCGGTTATGATATAGGTAATGCATGTAGCCTGTCCATCATGATAAACATGTGTATGTGACGTCGCGTGTGCAGGTTCGACGTACATTCAGTACCTCAACTCAGTGAGGCAACTACGTAGTCTACGTTAAATAACTCGTGACAACGTGGCCAAATAGTTGACAACACAACCTATTTCCAATTGTAACTAAGACGTGTTGCGAACTTGTTGGCTACTGTGTATGGCAGGATTTCCCAATTTTTTTTGCCTAGGAACCCTACTTTGGTAAATGGAAATTGAAATGAAAAACAATATAGTTTTTATGCAATTATTTGTAAACAAGTCGGTGCGCGCGAACAACGTCGGTCACGAAACGTGGGATAATATTTTTTACGGAAGGCTTACGGGCCTTTCCACGGAACCCTAGGGTTCCGCGGACCACCTTTCGGGAACCGCTGGTGTACGGTACCGTTTCTAAACTGAGATATTCAACGTGAGCGTGCTCATTTTCTCCCTAAGTATGAACTGAGCCAATTTTCGTTTACTAAATTGTTCTGAATTCAGAGCATTTTGACAGTCGAATTCAGGACAAATCGGATCCAGACTGCTGCAGAAGCTAGTCATGTTATTTACGTTTGATATGAATTCCTAAAAACGTTATGTCAGAAAATTCAATTTCTGTGACAAGACAAGCATAAGGTCCAAGCAGTCCATCCCACATTTTATTAAAAAAATTGGAAAAATATGGAAAAATGTAGGCAGTCACTTACATAAGAGGGAAATGACATGGACAAAATTAAAAAAAAAAATACATTGAGAAATGTAGGAAATGACAAATGAAAAATAAAAATAGCTTAAAAAAAGTAAGAAACGATTTTAACAAGTTTCTGCGACAGATAAGTAGGTGTTCGCTTCCTTAATTTGCTGTTTTTAAACAATTGGAGTGATATTTTGAAATAATGCCTCTACCTTATGAATATTGAATAATTTGGCAGTTCTTTTTTGTTAACCGTATTTTAATTGGCAGACAGTGGTGAATGAGTTCGTACATTCCGGCATTTATTCTGCACTCGGTAAATATGTACTCGTAGCAACAGGCAAAAAGTGTAAACAATTGAAGGACACGACTAAAGATTTCAATTGTTTTAGTAGTATTTGTCTATTGTTACGCACGATACAACTGGTACAACTTTAGTACTAATGTACAGTCCTCGTCAAATAGTTCGCGACACCTAAAGTAGCCAAAAAGTTTGCAACACGTCTTTGTTACAATTGAAATAAGGTTTTGTTGTCAACTGTTTAGCCACTTTGGGTGTCACGAACTATTTGACGCTGACTGTACTGCCGATTTGGCACTGTGGTTGGAAAGTAGATTTCTGAGGTAAGTAAGTAGAGGTTATGCATGAATTATGGTTACACGCGATACAGCCTGTAAAAATCCTCTGGAATCTGGAAGAGCGTGAGTATTTTGCTCAAATGGGAGTTTTAAAAAAAAATTAATGCTTCTGTTGATCAATTCTTACAATAAAATATAAGAGATAAATCTGTGTCTAATATATTGAACTCCAGTCAGTGTCTGCGCGATGCCAAAATACAAGGGCGTCCACGGAAGAACAGCTTCTTGACACGCCCTTACTCGTATGATCTTGTCAAGATAAATGCTTAGCGGTAGCATAATTGGCACAGTGTCTTGTTATTGTTTTATGTGTACTTACTGTGCCCATATGTGTAGTTTATCTATTTCTGAGATTGAATCGACTTTTGGGCGTTGTTTTGTAATACGGAAATTTTCTTGATGGACATGTAAAAAAAAAAACTCATGGAAAATTATATTCTACATATATTCAGCTACATTTCATACTCCAAGGGCGATTTTAAAGAGTCTGTTACAGTATTTGATGTTATCCTTCATGTATGGTGTTAGGGTTGTGAAGTTGTATTTAAAGGGCTTCTCTATGTGCTGGTACCTCAGGTCCTCTTGACAGGGAGGCCAGTCGCTCTCATTTACTGCTGGCGACCTGAAAGGAATATTTATATTCATCATCATCATTTCAGCCACAGGACGTCCACAGCTGAACATAGTCCTCCTCCAATACCGTTCACAAGAAATTCACTTTGAACGATATTTTTAGATTATGGACTATTGAAACACATAACACCAGCTTTCCGTTATTCAGTAAAAGTATAGTACTTAAAAATAGTGCCACCAAAATTAATGATAAGTTAGTTAATAATCTTGGAGTATAATAATGTATAGATAATATAACTTTACCCATTGATAACGAAGTTAGATATCATTGTAGTCATCCAGTCCTTCATTCGACTATCATCATCAGAATGCGCTAACTCATTCAACTTAGTCTGGGGCCCAAGGAAGGCGTTCAATCTGAAGAAATACGTGATATCTTCTAGATGAGCAGCTCCTGGATATGTCATATTAAATCTCAGCTTAAGAGGATGTTTCTTTGATTTATAATTGAACTGATAGAAATAGGTTTTAGCTGCCCCAGTCGCTAGCCTCTTTCGAGCTAGTCTTTGCGCTGGATACGTATAAGACAAGTCCGTTACTGAATTAAGGAATTTGATCAGAGTTATGTTCGTGTAGTTAAAGTATTTCGCCAGCTGTATAGTCGTCAGAACTGGTATCGTCTCCAAGTTAGCCGCCATCAGCAAGCTTAGAGGCAAAGTCAGCGCTGGCATCATCTTCAATTTTTCCGCCATGTGTACTTCCTTTAGCCGTGGATACAGAATGATTCCTTCGTTGCTACATAAGCCTATGATTGTAGGATACTCTTTTCCAGCGCCCTCATTCACTAGTTCTTCTGGCTCTTTCGGTAGGACGGTCGTGAAGCTTGGTTGTGGTGTTTCTATAATAGGGACAAATGCTACTACGCCCAATACGTCCAGAATAGCTTTCTGTCCATACAAAAGTCTCTCTAAAGGTGCTGCCACGAGATCGTCGTGGACCTTCTTTGGAGGCTGCAGAGGATTTATCCCAATGGCAATGAAGAAGATGGCGTTGACAATACTGGCATATTTTCGGGAGTAACTGAACATTCCGTAAGCAGATTGCCCACTCAGTGCTGCTACTCTGAAAGTAAATAATAATACTAGTTTGATTATGTACCTTCATAAGGAATAAGGAACAGCGAATCGAGGCTATACTTCAAGTCAAATTCTTCTTTGTTTTCCCAAGAATAGAAGAATTCTTGGGGTTTAATAACTGAGGTTACAAGACTGGTTACAGAAGATATTATAAGTTTTCTACAAGTGTTTGACAAGGCTCAAAGAGAGCTCTCGTGTGAATGCTAGCCAGTTGGCACCACTGTAGAGTAAAGTCTTGTAAATGTACTTTGTCTTTTTGCGAATCTGTCCTTATGCGAATCTGTCGTTATGCGAAAAAAGGTCCTGTTACTTGCCAGTGGTGTCAACTGCTTAGTACAAAAACGATAGCCCTCATTGAACCATTCGGATTCTGTATCCACTATTCTACCACAAAAGCTTCTTAAAAAAACTCAGCAGTTAGTTTTATAACAGCCTTACATACTGTTTAAATAGTCCTTTCGAGGCAGGTGAGACTGAGATCATATGGGCCAGCACACCACCAGCGCTCTGTCCAGCCAACGTCACTCTATCAGGGTCTCCTCCAAAATTCCTGATGTTTTTCTGGACCCACTTGAGGGCCGCGATGCAATCCCTTATCCCGTTGTTTCCGGGGATGTATTTGTTTCCCAGGCTGAGGAAGCCGAATACGTTGAGCCTGTAACATTGTATAGGTCTTGCAAACTATTTACAGTGCTCTGATGAACAAAAACAAGAATTGTTGATAGAAACATCTAAAGACGTAGACACGGACGTAGAATTGTCAAAATTATTAGAATTCACCCAGAATGGCTGGCCAGATAAAAACATACCAGATAACTTAAAACATTACTATAAATTCAGAGACATTATAACAATTGATCAACAACTCTTGTTCATGAATGATAGATTATTGGTTCCAACTTCTCTTATATTAAAACTCCTACATAAAATGCATGAAGGTCACCTAGGAATGACAAAAATGTAACAACTGGCTAGAACTTTGTATTATTGGCCCAATATTGATTCACACATAGAAGCATTGGTTAGGAAATGTATTATCTGTCAAACTTACCAGAATAACAACACTAAAGAACCTTTACTATCACATGAGGTACCTAAATTACCATTCTCAAAGATAGGCATTGACATTATGGACTTTAAAAAGAAGAGTTATTTGATAATCTATGACTATACCACGAAATGGCTAGATATAAAATTAATTAATAATAAATCTGCAAACACTATAATAAATGTATTGATAGATGTATTTGCTTGCTTTGGCATACCATCTGAAATTGTAGCAGATCACATTCCATTTGATTCCTTACAGTGTAAACAGTTTGCTAGTGAATGGGGTTTTAAATTCACATACTCTAGCCCAAGATATCCTCAATCAAATGGTATGGCTGAGCGTGGAGTACAGATAGCTAAAAAAATGTTAAAAAAGTGTAATGAAGATAAAACAGATTTTAGGATTTCCTTATTACAATATAGATCATCACCAGTATCAGGCACGCACTTCACACCTTCACAGTTGATGATGAACAGGAACTTAAAAACAAAGTTACCATCCACTTATAAGTACTTAATACCAAAGTTGAATGATAATGTAGAGACTGAGATGGCTAAGACTAACAATAGAAATATAAGAAACTATAATAGAAATGTAAAGGAAAAACCTAGCTTTAAGTTAAACCAAAAGATATGGTTTAAGAAAGATCCACAAAGTGACCAATGGTTACAAGGTATAGTGATATGTAACAATAATTATAGATCTTATGTAGTCAAGGATTGTAATGGATGTATTTATACTAGAACCTCATATCATATTCGCTCTCAATAATCTGATGGTACTGTTTTATGTATGAGTGTGCAGTTACAGAAATTATTCAGTTACTACAATGATAGGAACTTTTATGTATAAAGAAATATAAGTACATAGTGACAATATAATTAAGTAAACTTAAGTCTTAGTTTGTTTGTAAAACATACACAATGTTACATAGTATTCCATAAATAGTTAAAATTCTGATAAGTAGTATATGTTAAAGTATATAAATGTTTAAGTTTGTAGTTGCATAATATGTAACTATCTTTTTTTTTTATAATTTTTTTTGGAAAAGGGATATGATGTAATGGTTGGCAACACTGCGGCGGCCATATTTAATCTTATTGGAGAAAAAGCGAAGGACGGACGTTGTTGTACAAGTTGTGAAGTAATTAAGAAGAATAAAACCCCAAGTGTTAATAATAACTTCAGCATTTTATTTCAACATCAAACCTACATATAATACAGATGGTAATAAGGAATTCTGTAGCAACTTACGAGTAGCATTTGGGAAAATCAAAGTGTAAGCTAATGCCTACTCAAATTAATAGGTACTAAATATTGATCATCAGTCAAACCCAGATTTTCAGAAGTACTTATCGTAGTCCAAAAATCTACCTACGAAAGTACAACTTTTTGGAATTTCCATTTAGTTAGACCTTTAGAAACACATCACGAATACGTAATTTTTGCCACGCAAATAGAATACACAGGTTCGTACAGCGTCTTGGGACGTAATAATCACATTTTTGCAATTTCTCGGTGCTCTTACATAGGTATTACGATTAGGCATGGCAGATTTTATCGTCGTCTCGTATGTTTTATTCTGAATATTAGATTTTCCGCAGTTAACGAAAACCTAAGTGTGTGTTTTAATACGCGTGTATTTTAGAATTGAGAACCTCCTCCTTTTTTGAAGTCGGTTGAAAATGTATGCTCTTCTCTATGTATGACAGTATTACAGTGTTTATTTGCCATTAATTTGTATTTGGTAATTGTGTGATTTCAGTTTTATCAGTTTCGAATACGAGTAGGTATGACGTAATCTAAATTTCATAATCGGGAAATCTGCTACTTGTTATAAGAAAAAAAAATATTTTAACTTTGGCTATTCAATCCATCTCGTACTTATTGGACTAGAAATAACAAAATTTGCGTATACCCACGTACTAAGGTCGTTATCTTATCCGTATTATCGAAGGCTTTGGGGGATTGTAAGATTACGATTCTTTTTATAAACAATTAAGTCCAATATAATAATTCTACTAGTCCATATCTGTTCTTAGAATATAATATATGTATAAAGTAGGTACTCGTACCTCAAGTAATTGCTTAAACATAAACATTAGAATACGTTTATTTTTATTTAATGATCTGTTTCGATGAAGGAAAGGAGACTTCGTCTCGAATTAACAAGCTGTTTGGGATAAAATAAACGTTGTTTCAATGAAGTAAGTACCGATATCAAATCGCAATTGCATTTGTTTGCAATTTTTTATAATTAGGTACCTGTGACCTATCTTCAGAATTTGAGTAAAAAACAATTAATTATAAAATCATAATCGAACGAAAAAAACCTAAAAATAAATTGGTAATATCAATACTATTTTTTTATACTACACACTTGCAAATTTTTAAAGCCGATTTATTCATTAGCAACACGGCTATGAATTTTCCTATCACATACAATAGGTACTTGCTTAAGACCATCACCAAAGTATACTTAGGTACTATTAGAGGCCGGTAGATCTATTCTCATAAATAAAACACTGGATACTTAACTTTCACAGTATATTGCCTTATTTTAGATACAATTCATCACTTAGCACAAAAGCGCGCGGAGTCGTCTCCGCACGTCCCTCTATTCTGACGTTTGATGCCAGCGTGACATTGACGTATTGTCAATGTCACTATGACAGCATCTCATTGGCCACAACGATACCGTTATTATAACGTTTTAGATTTTTCATAATTAACAGTACCTACATTTATAGGTAGCCTAAAAAAGAGAATGACCATACAATTTGATCCAAAGGTACAATACAATCTGTTCAACGAAACTTACAAAATAATAATAAATTGTATTGCACAAATTACTAATAGTAAATATTATTAGCATCCATTAGCCCCTCGTACTAAGCTAAATATGTTTGTGTTACGAGTGGGTTCACCACAATAGTCGAGCGGCGGGGTTCGAACCCGCGTCCCTCAGATGTCGAGTCGGCCAGGCCGATCCCTTCACCGTTCGGCTATCGTGGCTTCACATTCGCACTTGACAATCATTTTGACACTTACCTATTTCTGAACTGTCCCAATTGTTGCAGGAGTGCTCTGTGTTTGTCTTCGACAAGCGCAATGCGGAAAAGCTGTACAAGCCGAAGTGTAAGAAGACCATGTTGGACCGTATCCGGGGCTGCATCAGCCAGCTGGAGAAGATGCGCCATCCGAAGATGCTGCAGATCATCCACTCTATAGAGGAAGGCCATAACACCATCGCGTTCGCCTCTGAACCTGTCCTGGCCAGCCTCCATAACATCTTGGCTTTCCATGTGAGTACCTACAATATGAAAAGTTTTGTTTGTACGCGCTAATCTCAAGATTTCAATAGCTAGGTCCGATTTTAAAAATATTTTTTGTGTTGGATAGCCCATTTAACGAGGAAGGCTGATTTTAAAGGCGACATGTCATCATTAAAATTCATAGGAGCAGAGTTTCAATTAATACGGAAAAAAAGTTTCTAAGAATATCACGCATCGCGATGCAAGCTTAGCTAGTTGCAATATGTGTTGCAAATAAACGAAATGTTGGTTGTGGTTCGATGGACCAGATCCATCGTCAAAAGCTAGTAGTTTCACTGGTAGGTATAAAAAAATAATGTAGGGTAGTACTTATTTGTGTACGCGTCATAAACTAGAGTCGACGTAAACGTCACACCCAAAGTAATAAAGACAAGTCAATGTTTCCTAACCCGAAGTCTTCAGAACAAAAGGATATTAGAATAAGTACACGTAAAATCATTTTCCAAGGCTGCATTAATCACAGTCTTTTTGCAAAAAAACGCTAATCGGAAAAATCTAGTCTCTAACTAAGTATAAAGAAGTTCATCAAAATTAGCGATGATAACGAAACCGCAACCTTAAGCATTTTATAGACGAATATCAAAAGTGTAGGACTTTTTTTAAATAGTCCTATCTCTCTCTCTAAGATTATAAGGTTGGGAAGCGCTGAAATGAGGCATAAACTTCTACACGATGTCAGTGGTACATAATACCCACTTACCACGTATGTGCTCGGGATAATCCCGAAGGCATAGCGCGTTTAATATGTGCATTATGAACAAAATGGCTTAGAAATTAATTGAGTTGTGTGCTTCATTCCCCGTCGCCTATCGACGCGCTAGGCTAAGAGACGTCGCTTATAACACAATCTTAGCTCCTTAAAGGCACCAATTTAAAAGCTGTTTATTTATAAAAGACATTACTTAGTTTTTAGTATTTTTAGTTATAATAATTTATTTTCATTTATGCGTGTTTGTCTTGTTAGCTGTCCAAAATAAATAAAATAAAAAAGCAATACTGTTCAAATAAAGTAGAATCGATACGTTTTAATTTTTACCCCAAACTCAATACGCATCAAAACATAAATGTGAAAATGGGAGTCAATTTCAATATTAAAAAGCGTGGGCCGACTTCAACGATAAAAGTATTGACATATAAATGGGCGCCAGTTCAGATAAACACACAACATTCTATTATCTTATTATTCTTATTTATAAATATTAAATTGGCCTTTTAACTCTGAGTAAACTTACATTGTTTTTAGGTTCCTCACAACCTAACGAAAAGCACCACATGAACAAAATAATAAATGAGTGTATTTCTTCTTCATGAGTGATCGTTTATAAATCTACCACTCGCAACATTTTATTAGCTAAAGATAAAGTAAAATTCACCAAACTAACCGAGTTCCATCTTAACGGTACTTCGTCCGAACCGGCCCTCGGACGGAGCATTCAGCCTATTTATTATGAAATTGCCCACCAGAATCCACTCAAAATTTCAGGCTAACGAACAATTGCGTTAATGGTCTATAGGGAAGAACATTAAATATTGATCACTATAGTTGCGACACTCAGTGATGTCACTTTTGACACTTTGGAAAGCAAAATACAACAATATCTTGCTTTGCTTTGCTTGCATTAACCACTTTCAATCAGATATTCAAACAATCATTTTAATCCTATTTGGTGAACGAAACATGTAACATTGATGTATGTATTTCTTATTTACATGCTCGTAGCTCTGTAACAAGAGAGAACTGACTGCCAAATAAAATTTTAAAAACGTTACATAAAAACATTTGGTAGGTATTTAACCTGACAAATGTTTTTTTTTTTGTATTAAGGAAACAAACTGCATGAGTTTATACATGTGAACTTAAAAAATAAAAACAGTACAGTGTGCCCATGAANAGACGTTGTTGTTGTATTGTACAAGTTAAGCAACCAAGTGCTAATAATAACTTCAGCATTTTATTTCAACATCAAACCTACATATAATACAATAGTAGCGTATTTTAGGGCCCTTAACTCTCTTTAGGGCACTTTTTGTAACGAAACGAACACCAAAAGGTGACTTGGATACGCACCTATAATTGATTGTGACAAGGATTATGTCTTTAGTCATCAGATACTCTGGGCCATAGAAATCCGGGTCCCCAGAGCCATAGTTTAATGATCCCCCATGGATCCAAAAGAAGACTGGCAGGAGTTGCTTGGTACTGCCAGCTGAAATAAGTAATACAACAATATTTATGTGCAATCCGGTCAATTTAACTGCGCACCTGGCTGGAATGCGACATCTCTCTCGCAGTCATCAGGTTACCTTCCCGCGTTCACCCCGTCCGTACCAGAGCATTGATGTGACGTCACGGCAACCAGGTGCGCAGTTAACTTGACCAGGTTATCTTCCACTGTATAGTATGTTTTTAAATAGGCAAAGATGAATGAGTAGGTCCCTGCGGTAGTGTTTTTGTTTCGTGAAAACTTCCGCGTTGTGTTCCGAGATGTGCTTTAGAATAAAATACCCATCAAAAACAATACTTGTCAAAAAAACCAAGTCTCGCAACTCAGTTGTTCTACGGTAAAAAGTTGTGAGATCCATGTAATACCAAGTCCAGGCCAGGAAATCTTTAACGTTTTACATAAATATATTGACTTGGCCATCGCATNCATTATTATAATAAGTACGCAAAAACAATGTGATCTTAATGATATTTTTGGTCGTTTCTATTTACTCGTATCACCCCACCCAATAATTAATTATTACCTCACTCTCACTCAGACGTGGATCTCTACATCCAAATCTGGAAGTTCAACCATCTTATTCACTTGTTCTTCATCATTGAGGATTTAATAGTTCTTAGATCCATGCTCATGCACTGTCACAGTAATTATTTGTCTACGAATAACTATTCACATGATGATTGATTTAGGAGCCCGTGTTTCGACGGCAGATCAATTATGATATTTTTTTTACTTCCGCCCTACCTGTAACTAATGCTGCCCTACCTCAAATTCGACCCTAGCTACGGCCCTGGTCGTTATAATCGGATTCTACTGTATCTAAATTCACACAGACAAAGCCTCTGACAGAAACCTGTATATGTACAGTTTGAGTTAAAGGTCTGATGTACATATTTACCTCAAGGATAAGCACAGTCTCGGTTCTAGTTAGAAAAATCTTACTGGGTGCCGGCGCAGGCCCATGCTAAGTAGCGCATACCTACAAAAAATGAGATGTTTCGAATTAATTCCAGAACGAATAAACACCATAAAGCACATTTAAATAGATTTCACCGTTCGTCCACGGGTTCTTTTGTCAGCGTTATTACATTTTTGATCGTTCCCATTAAATATTTACCGAAGCTTTTTCTAGAGAAGTAAATTGCGTTTTGCTCGTAGATACAGTTCTTATTATGTGTGATTATACATATTAGTAGTACCTAACTACCTAGTCGGCATAACTTATGATGATGATATATGGATGACATAGTGACAAACAATGTAACATTTTGTTAAATATTTTATTCACAACTTTTTATCGCAAAATCTCTTCAATGAATTTGAAAATAGCGGCGCTGCAGCGAGAATCGGGCAAATATTTTAATGTTAAGGTCGCATAGAGGATATATGTTCAAGTCACAAATTCTACTTGTGCTTTAATATAAGAGTGTCCCCCTTTACTCTGTGTAAGTTGCTATCACTCAATGTTAACTTGATAAATGTTTTCCAGCAACAGGTAATCTTTTAAACTGAAAAACATTAAATTGTTTTTCGATTGCTTCGCGATTCGAGATTGATTTACTATCTGATTCTCAGTATTGTTTGTTGAAAACTTATACATTTTTTATGGAGTGTCTTAATAGGGAATATGCAAGGTTTTTTTATTTCTCACATTTCAGTAGCCTTGACATTATCAAATCAATCAGTGCTTCTCTCAAACAAAAATTTCAAAAGATACCTAAGATCTCATGACGTTATTGGTCATGTTAAAACGACACGCAGAGTCCCATACAAGTTACTATGGGCGGGTCAGGCTCAGCTATTTCCATACGAAATTTAAACACTTGTAACTTTTTTATTTCCAGTCCGATTCCAATACCAGTTTTTCAGAAATTCTATGATTTAACTAAACTGTTTATTTAAACATAGGTAATTTATTAACTTTTAAAATCGATGCATATTATATTGTTGTTTCGATTTTCTTAAGTTACAGTAGTGCCATTGCTCAGTATTTACAATATGAACCACCTTATGCGTGTTTAAGGCTCTTATTTTATCTTATCTTGCCCAGCTCTAATCTTGTTTGGTTTTTAATAGTTTTATCATCTTTAACCCTAAAATTTTCTTTGTTGTGTCATTTCTGTTACATGTTCTATAAACCCTAAATCTGGGATAGACAATCTATAAAAGGATCGCGGGTCTCCGAGGATCAAAAGCTAGGTTACATAAGGGTCTCATTAAATTTATATTTAAATCAAACACATTTTGTTTGCTACTTCGAGCTAATAATAGGATACAGTCATTATCTATTCCGATGGTAAATAATACTAAATAAATAAATTCAGCTGTCGGTACTGTTGGTGAGTTCTGTGGAACCGCAGCATGTGCTTTCACATCAATTACATAAGTATAGCGGCCTGAATGGAAAATTTGCTGAACTAGTGCACCGAGTGAATGACCGTTAGTCGAATTGTACTATGCTTATTTCAGGTCCGTTCTGCTTCCCGCATTAGCATAGTCAGCCGTCGGTGGTGCGGTTTCGATTCGATTAGACAATCGGACGTCCCTATGGAAACGATACTGGACGCGGTCGCCCGCCTCACTGGTATAGGCTTAAGCCGTTCGATGGAGGAGCATCAGGTTATAGGCGTCACAGCATATTAGTTAGTTAATAGCGTGTTACGAGCCCACCGCAAATCGGGTTTGAATGAATGTGCAGCTATAAGCCGTACGAGACACGCTCTGCACTCCAGAAATATCCTTGCTAAATGGCAGTGTCGTAGGTTAGCGCTGGATGGGTGTTGTTTTATCATTATCATCATCATTTCAGCCATAGGACGTCCACTGCTAAACATAGGCCTCCCCCAATGATTTCCATGTTGATCGATTGGTAGCGACCTGCATCCAGCGTCTTCCTGTTATCTTTAAGATGTTGTCGGTCCACCTTGTGGGTGGACGTCCCATGGTGTTATTGTAAAGTTTGGTAGCCTGCTTATTTTCCGCGCTGATAAATTTATTGAAGTCTGTCAGATAGTGTTAGGAACAAAAGGATAAATTATTATTAGATCATGAAAGATAAATTGTAGTAATAAGGGAAGGCACTGAGCAAAGAAAAAGATGGTAAACGAGGCGTTTACGTTACGGTGCGGATAAGCGTGCGACAGTACGGAGTTTCATACAAAGAATACTGACCGCCTCGAGTTGATACGGTTACGATCCGTTTCCGGGTTGATAAGTATGCTTCGTGCTTAACCCGACGCAGTCGTCTCCACCTGTTCCCTTTTATTGTCACCTGAGCCCTCACTTTATAGCTTCATATTACTCACTTTGGCTTCGGAATTTTCAATCCTCCTGCGTTTAAAGCTAAAGCCCAAAGATTATACAGTGTGTCCGGGCATGTAGTGATCAAACTTTATGGGCCAAATCTAGGGACAATTTTATCGATAAAAATACTTCAAATTTGGGGCTTGACCCATTTATCGCAAAATTACAAGGATTTAAGTTTTTAATTTTTTGTTTTCACCTCTTCCTTCAAAAACAAGTGAAAGCGTGGGTAGCTTAACATTAATAAGCAAATATTTTATATCATGCGACAGCCAATAAAATTATCTATTAGCAAAAGTAGAAAACAGATGAAAGTTTCATACATTTTAAGAGAGTAAGAATGGATTTAATTAGGAAAAAACATGACTTTTTTCACTTCTTTTTCAGTTATTTTCCAACACAAGAAAAACCAGGTCGTTAAGGTATGTTTTATTTGCATTGTATTATTAGTATTTNCTGCTAGAAGTGCCTTAGAATTTTGATGATCGGTGAGTCAGTCAGTGAGTCAGTGAGTCAGTGAGTGACAAAATTAAGTAACTTTGACCCGTTATAATTCTTTAACTACTGGTTCAAATTGAATGAAATTTTAAACATACCGTGTCTTTACAATGCCTGCATAGCTAATGAAAATTCAGCCTTCTAGTTTTATCCACAACGAAGTTACAGGCGGTCGAAAATGGCCTGAATTGCTTCGAGAAAAGGATGGTACGGCCGTGCCGCTTTTCTGCTCGACTTGGTGGGGGCACTGCCGTGCCCCCAGATACATCGTAACATATGTACAGCTATATTATTACGTCACATGTCACCCGCCCTCACTGCGCTTCTTCCGTAAAAACCATTTAGTTAAGTAGGTATATGTCTGTACAAGAAATTAGCCAACGCCTGATGGTACAATATAGCTTTGGTGGTAAAAAACAAAATATTTGCTCTTTGTTTACTACACCACACAAGACAATACGTAATACGAGTAAGTACGTACGTACATAAATGGTTATAGGAGCTGGTACTGTTATACTTGTGCAGACTTTAAATGCGGTTTTTAATACAAAATGTCGTACGGGCACAAGCCCCGCTCAACCCACATATCAATATAAATATACCTTAACTTACTTCTGACATCAGGAAAGAACTGGTAAGGCACGTGAATGTTGATCCGAATGCAGTCTTCGCCCATGGACCTGGGTGCCATGAGCGGGCCGAAGAAGATGTCCACTTGTGGGCAGATGGGGCCTGTTTCTGTCGCGTTGAAAACTCCATGAAAAGGCTCGGCTGGTCGCAGTTCCTGAAGAAAATTACAATTTTGTACAAAGAAGAAATACAAAGACTTATGGACTGACGATGTAACGAACTTTGGTGGGTCAACTAGCTGCCATTGGAAACAAAATTAATTTTAGAAAAGTAATAAATCTTTGTGAAAATCCTTGGGGGAGGCCTTTGTCCAGCCCTGGACGTCTTTCGGCTGAAACGAACGAACGAAAGTAATAAATCAGAAATAATGGTTAGTAGCGTCTTGTAGACGGTCAGTGTCCCGAACTCCCAATTATCTCCCTTTCAACAATTTGCGAGAGAAAATTTAGCGAGTCAATGTCTATCAAAATCAAATCCTGCTCACGATATTGATTTAGATTAATGGGATCATCAAATCTTTACGAAACGTGCATCCGTAAATTCTAGGAATTTCCAAATTCGACGCAATACTCGCACTGCCCGAATACGCCCCGCTTATTCCCCAAAAAATTATCAGCTTTAGTTGAATACCTTGAATCTAAGTCTCCCAAGAGGCTGCTTGGCGTAAGGGATCCCTCTGAAGCTGGCGTAGTCCTCCCCATTGGTGGCCTTCCTCCTCCTCCCACACACAAGCCCCTGCTCGGTCCTCGTGGCCACCTCACAGCTGGATACATCCAAATCGCAGAGGCACGCTACAAAGATTTGTGAGTCAAGCATCATCAGCATATTTTTTGATTGTAATCAAATCAAAGTTTCTTGGTACCTACTAACACTCCCAAGCCGCTTTCGGCTACGGTAACTTCGACATAATTCCTTTAGTCCGCAATAAGAGGGCTACGCTGGGCTGCCCTATCATGTGCCCTCACATGGCTACAGTAGCCAATCTTGTTGGTAAACGTGCGCGAACAACGTCGACACGTTAGGACACCGCTGATGTAGTTGTAGGTGATAACCGCTGCTGGTCTGGCTTTAAGGTACTCGTACCTACTACAATAGTACTTACCAATCGTCTAATCTCTAAAGAAAAATATGAGACTAAAAATAGTTTTGCCTTTACATGTCTCATAATATTTTTGTCGTACCAGATGCAGAGCGCCAATAATATTTGAAAAGAAGAATAAAAGATGCCTTTACATGTCTGACAGTCTTTTTACTATTTTTGCTCAACTGACTCCAATATTTCGACTGTTTGAGACCAACATTTAGCAAGCGCTGAGAAAAAGCGCCGCAACAAACTCAGTCAACACTGTCTGCCAGTTGAAATAAATAAGAAATAACAATACCCGCCCACAAATAAACTATAACCTTAGGAAGTATGTACTTTAGCAATTACTATAAAAACGGGACTATTCCCACCTTTCGTTCCCACCGCTGCAACTACTGTGTAGCCAGGATCTACAGCTTGACCGCCAATAAAAACCCAACCAGTGAAGGTCAAGTTTGTCCCGGGGGAAAGATAAACTGTCATTGGACCCGCAACGAAATTAATCATAAGAACATAGGAGTTCGAAGTTAAGATAAATCGTCCCATTAATCTCTCGAGCTAACCTAGTAAATATGCATGCAGTTAGAAATTGGGTTATTTTACCCTATCTTGGTAAAAAATATTTAAAAAAGCTTTTTAAGCCAAACTTTTTCGAATATAAAATGGTAGTTAAATAATAAAAAAAAATAAAAAAATGGAATTCACACAAAATGCTGTGCAAAATCTAATTCTATACTTAAATAAAAGCTTGTAAAAACTTACTCGCACAATAAAGAACTGCAAACACAATCACTCTGAACGTATTCATAATAAATCTTTACTCGTAAATGAAAATCATGAATATTTGAGCTGGGTAACGATTTTAATAAAAAAAAGGCGAGGTTCCATGTTATTTTGCAAACTCTTTGTTCTTTGTTTGCCTTTATTCTTTCAGAGTTCCGTAGTCAACAAAGAAACCTATTACCTACTTAGTTTTTTATTCTGTTTTGTTTAAAGACTTGATGCTAGAAAAATGTTTATAGAACAAGTTCAAAACCAAGCAGAAAATGATGCTCCCACTGGAAATCGAACCTGAACCCGGAGACCTAACCACTAGACCATAGATACAGTCATCATCATCATTTTCAGGGTAAGGCAGTAATGCTTATCGTAAACCTCCAAAAGAACCCTCGATTTGCCACTGTGTTACTATTGCGATTTTTTATGAGGTCGTCGGTCCATTAAGTATTGTCCTATGCTACGTTGGCCGAGTCGTTACATTTTCCTTTTTCACCGACTTCAAAAAATGAAGAGGTTCTTAATCTATAATATATAAAGCTTGGACATTTTACACTGCGCTTCTAGTCCCAAACTAAGCAAAGCTTGTACTATGGGTACTAGACAACGGATATAAACATACTTAAATACTTTTTTTTTGTAAATACATACTTATCTTTATCTATATATATAAAAGAAAGTCGTGTTAGTTACTTCGCTTATAACTCAAGAACGGCTGAACCGATTTAGCTGAAAATTGGCAGGGAGGTAGTTTAGAGCCAGGAGAAGGACATAGGATACTTTTTATCCCGTTCGAAATTAAAAAAAAGTCTGCTTATTTATTGCCATTAAGGCGGAACAAAGTTCGCCGGGTTAGCTAGTTATACATAGAAAACACCCAGTCCAATTCAAACAAATATGTTCATGCACACAAATGTTTGTAATGTGCGGGAATCGAACCCGATACCTCCGGAATAGTAGTCCGTTTCGAACCACTGCACCAAACGGCCGAATTGTTTTTTATGTTTTTATCATCAGTACCCTGACATTTTAGCGAACTCAGTTTTTTTTTGGTTTTACGGAACTACCTACTTGACACTTGACTTTAGCAAAAAATTCACTCTCGTCTCAAACTAAAAAATAAACAGCACTTAAATGTTGAATGACAAGGTGTCGTTCTTCTTCTTTTCGTGTCGAAAACAAACTTACACAGTGTCAGCCCAAAACTCCGCCACAAGGTGTCGTTAGGGCGTTAGGACGGTCAGTCACTGTTTCATACAGTTTGTAGTACAAACTTTGTACTTTGGTGCAATATAGTTATGCAAACTGCAAAAAAAGCTGTCAAGTGCGAGTCAGACTCGCGTACAAAGGGTTCTACAAACCCTGTATGTTATGTAATGTACTTTTGTAATGAAATAAAATATTTTGTATTGTATTGTATTGTAGTTTTGAACAGCAATGCCAGACTCAAGTGTGACTCAGTGATAGTACCACCTACACATGAAAGTAAAGCCGCCCCGAGAGTGCGGAGGAAAAAATGAGTGATAACTCGCCCTCGTAATAATACCATAATTTCCTGATTCCATGGATTTTTCCATGAACATTCAAGATACTTTTTTTTCTTTTTTTACCCGGCATGCGTTGGTTTGACTGAAGCTTGAACGTACAAGCAGGTAGTCCTAGCTTAGAACGTATAAAAGGATATATTTAATATTCTACTCGTGTATTAAAAACAATTTTAACGTCACATCTCAGCGCGTCATTCTGGTTTTTTAAGTTTGCAAAAACTGTAAAAATAATGCAAAAAATGCTACATTGAACACCAAATAAAAAATTAAAAACATAGTATGAGTGAATACTCATTGAAAAGTAAATTCAGCGAACAATACATTTGTTCAGACTAAAGTTTAGACTCCTTTTAACATGTCTACACCTAAAGTATTAATTTTAGCATTGTTATATTTTGCAGGTAAGTTATTTCAATGTATTATTATACTTTTAAGTAATAATGTGATAAATTCACCATATCAAAATTTTTAACAAATTCCAATCGGGACCTTATAAGGACTTGGCGTTTCTACTAGGTGCTGGACGCATTTTTGGAGAGATGTAGTTTATTCTGTAACATTTATTATTCATACCGTTTGATAAAACTCGTGAAGCACCTTCAGGATCAGTATACAGTAAACAGTTTTTCGATATCTTGTAATAGTTTACAATATTGGAGCGAAATCAAAATCGTTTCCACCCTATTATATTTAGAAACGTACGTGGTTAATATCATTTTTCTACGTTTCTTACGTCTATACATAAATATCGTTGTAAATATTGTTTTTAGTATGCCTTGTTGGTTGTCCTATAAAACAAATAATAATTATGACTTAATTTATTTTCACCACAGCAAACACAGTCTGCGCCGATCCGGACCTATCTGGTTGTGAGGTAGCCGTAAAGATAGAACAGGGGCACGTGTGTGGAAGGAGGAGGAGGGCCACCAATGGGGAGGACTACGCTAGCTTCAGAGGGATCCCCTACGCCAAGCAGCCTCTTGGGGAACTACGGTTCAAGGTATGGTAACGTAACTCATATTCTATTACAAGCTTTTTATTACTTTCACATGTCTGGTGTCTGTCGTCAAATCTTGCAACTTAAAATTGACCCTCTTCCCGGTTTCCTATTGAGCTGAAATTTTGCATACATGTGTAAGTTCGATGACAATGCAATATTATGGTACCATTGAGCTGGTCTGATGATGGAGTCGGGAGGTGGCCATAGGAACTCCTAAACAAAACGGCGGAAACTCATCGAATTTGGGTTCGTTGGATTTGTCTTTTCGAGCACTTTAGTGTTAGATAACGTCCAGGGTCCTGAGATTAAGATATAACTAAAAAGTGTAAAATAAAATTATAATAAAAATAAACTTTTTTAAAAACAAGCTTTTATTCTGAATTTCGAATCATGCGCGATACAAACTTTCGAAACAGACACACAGACATTTTTTTTATGTAAGTAAACTTTCCTGCGGCCAATGGGGTAGCAAGGTTCTGGAGCGGAGGCCACGTACCGGAAAGTGCAGCGTAGGACGTCCACCCACAAGGTGGACCGACGAACTCGTAAAGGTAGCAGGAAGGTGCTGGATGCAGGCAGCCAGGCAGCAGCATGATGATGATGATGAAACTTTCGAGACAATAATATGAGCTAGTGCTGACAAGAAGCAGCGCAAGAAACTCAGTCAAAGTAATCAGCGTCTTTTCCCAAATTTTAAAATATTATATTAATGGTGTGAGCTAGGCACTTTTATCTATTGAATATCCATGTTAGTTATCTAACTTTTAGCCCTATATGTACTGGTAAAATGCTCATTCTTATTTATTAACGTTCCATCCGTGGTCACGTGGACAGATTTAAATTTCAATAAAACCCAACAGTTTGAATGATTCTGGGGGAATCTCGAAAAAATCATTTATTTATTTATTTATTTATTTATTAACACCAACAAGACATACACCATTTTAGACAATATTATACATGCTTATATAATAGGTTAAGTGCTATCTTAATTATAGGCGTTACACAAAATCATATTTTGATCTTCTCTTAAATTTTTCTCAGTATCTTCGTTCTGCAGATCAATATAAGAAGATCGAGCTTGTTGAATAACGATAGGCGTGATGATGATCAACTAACCAATATTTTCAGGAGCTGCAACCGGCCGAGCATTTTACTGGTGTCTTCAATGCAACAGAATCTGGACCAATCTGCCCACAGTTGGACATGTTCTACGCGCCTATAGGCCTTGTTCCCGATCCATCCGAGTTCGCTGGAGAAGACTGCATCAGGATCAACGTGCATGTGCCATATAAGTTCCTTCCAGACCGTTTGGGAGTCACCAAGCGTCTTCTCCCAGTTCTTTTATGGATACACGGAGGATCTTTCTCTTATGGTTCAGGAAACGCGGAGTTATATGGACCTGAATACCTCATGACCAAGGAGGTTATACTGGTCACATTCAATTACAGGTATTTTGGAATATTTCTGTTTTATCATCATCATCATCATTTTAGACGTCCACTGCTGAAAATAGGCCTCATCCAATGATTTCCTTAATGAGCGATTGGTAGCGGCTGGCTTCCAGCGCCTTCCTGCGAGGCGCTTTATGAGGTTAGCTATACAGGGTGGAATTTTGTAATGCCACCTGGAGGGAAAGTACTGTTAATACTGTAGATAGAAAATTTTACTGAAAGAAAACATTCCTTTATTTTTGAAAATAATAATTAACTTTTTAAAAAAATAAAACCGATTTCAAATTCGTGAACACAAAAAAAACTAAAAATTGCGTATAAAAAAGTTCATCCCCAATTTTCCACCCTTGGGGGTGAAATATTTTCTTCAAATTCGCATGAAACCACCCTTTTGATTCCTATTCAACAAAAAAATAATCGTTCAAATTGATTTATAATCGGCGGAGATATTGCGTATAAAAAAGTCATCCCCAATTTTCCACCCTTGGGGGTTGTTTTTTCTATTATTAAATTTAAATCGGACCACCCTTGAGGTATTACCTATACGCCGAAAAAAGATTTGTTCAAATCGGTTCATAATTGGCGGAGTTATCGCGTAACAAACATAGAAAAAAAAAAACATACGGGTCGAATTGAGAACCTCCTCCTTTTTTTTGAAGTCGGTTGAAAAGAACTGCATTCATAGATTTACGAAAATTTTTCGAAAATTTGCTACCATACCATACAATTTTCTCCTACATAATTAAAATAATTTAAGATTTCATGGTTTTCCTTTCATTTGATTTGTCAAAATTGTTAGAGAGATTTCATCCTTATATTTAACCCTAACGATCGATGAAATAAAAATACAGGGTGTAATTTTTAACAGATTTTAGTTGGTTCGATTCCCGGGTGTGGCAAGCAAATTTTTGGAAACCTTTTAATGCAGTTCTATTTCTTTTCAAAAATAAAGGAATGTTTTCTTTGGGAAAAATTTTCTATCTACCATATTAAGAGTACTTTCCCTCCAGGTGGCATTACAAAATTCCACCCTGTATATACTAAATACATTCTAAGTTCTACCTCATTGTTACTCATCTTTGGCTGCTGCTGAGGCTGATATTTTTACTCGTATTCCAGAATTCACGCTTTGGGATTCCTCAGCATGGATGACGAGTACATCCCTGGCAATAACGGGCTAAGGGATTGTATTACCGCCATGAAGTGGGTGCAGAGGAATATTAAGTTCTTCGGAGGTGACCCTGGAAGAGTGACGTTGGCGGGGCAGAGCGCCGGCGGGGTGTTGGCTCATTTGCTCTCCATCTCGCCAGCTACTAAAGGATTATTTCACCAGTGAGCTTCTTTTAACTTATTTTACTCACTTCGAACTCCACCTATGTTTCTCTGATTAATTCGTTGCGGGTCCAATAACAGTTAACTTTCTCCCGGGCAAACTTGACCTTAACTGGTTGGGTTTTTATTGGCGGTCAAGCTGTAGATCCTGGCTACACAGGAGTTACAGGGGGGAACGAGATGTGGGAATAGTCCCGTGATATTTTTACTCAATATGTTTATCATTATTTAGTTAGACATGAAAATAAATGTTGTGTAATATATTATGAAAATTATCTAGAGTTCCAAACCAAAAAATGCAATAGGGACAATGAGGTGTTTATTGGAAAATTTTCAATTTTCAGGGTAATAGGACTAAGTGGAAATTCTCTCACTTCCTTCTACACGTACTCTCCGATCTTAGCGAAAATACTCAATGTAATATTCTTCATTGCTGTTGGAATCAACCCCTTTGGACACCCGAAGAATATCCACGACGAACTCGTAGCGACTCCTATGGAAACACTCCTGAAGGGGAACAAAGTGATATTAGATCTTACTGGTCTAGTGTCCTTTGCCCCTGTCATTGAGACGAAGCAACCTGGCTTCACGACTGTTATACCGAAAGACCCTGAAGAACTCCTGAACGAAGGCGCTGGTAAGGAATACCCGATGGTTATAGGGTTCACAAGCAATGAGGGAATGAGTTTGAGGAGGAGGTTGCAAGAGGTGCGAATGGAAACGACGTTACGCCTGGCTCCTGCGTTGGCATTGCCACAGAATTTGATATTCCCAAAATATACTTTCTTGGTGCCGGTGCTGACGATCAAGCATTTGGCAGAATACTTCAGCGTGATATGGATAACTATGGACAATTTCGTGGTGTCAGCGACCGAGTCTTATTATATGTATCCAGCTCAAAGGCTGACGCAGAAAAGACTTAGAACGGGGGCTGCTGATACATTTTTATACCAGTTCGCGTATCCAGGTGAAAACAGCCCAATTAAGATTGGGTTGAATACGACGTTCCCAGGAGCATCTCATGGGGAGGATATGGCGTATTTCTTCAGATTCAACCACTTCCTTGGTCCTCAGACTGAGGATGACGAGTTGGCGCCGACTACTGACGATAATGGGATGAAAGCCTGGATGACTAACTTCATATCTAACTTCGTAAAATCCGGGTAACTAATTATTTGTTATTATAGGTACTAGAATTAATGCATCGTCATCTCTATCAAATTGTAATCAAATCCAACCTATTCTTTTCAAGTTTCTTCATGACCCAGTTCGATAAATAAGTATTGTAAGTAATCCGCGATTCTGGTAACTACATATTACCCAGAGGAGGTGCTGACTGACCGCACAAATTACCTTATTGCGGATCATCTGCCAATATCCTCAGGATGCTGTTGACTGGGTTCAAAACTTCAAATCAAAAATCAAAATCAAAAATATTTTATTCAATTTAAACCAGTATTTTGGCTCTTATGAACGTCAAAAATAAAAAGGGGTAGCCCTTAACCACTTTACTTTACATGTCTTAGGTTCATAAGTGATATTAAGTTCATAAGTGATGCCATTTTTTTCTTTACGGGGACCAGAAAGCTATCTATTCTTGCCCTCGCAAACATCTCAGGTGTACTGCAAAAGCGAGGGAGCCCCAACTTAATCCTGAACACTCATATTGGATACGAAAGAGTATTTAGCGATCTCTGGTTCAATCCACCTATAGACCGCCCGTGTACAGATTCTGACAGTATTTTTTTATGCATAACAAGGTAGGTAGGTATTTGACCGCAATCGCATGCAGTCTAGGATGGTACATATCTGCCCTGTAAGTACCTATTCACTCTCGCCTTGAATAGGCCCGGATTACAGTGATTCTGATTGCCTATTGTCGCTTCTAGATTAATATTATTTAAGTATGTATTGTTCCAGATCACCAACAGAAAACATAGATGACTGGCCTCCCAGCCAGGAAGACCTGAAGTTCCAAAACATAGAGAAGCCCTTCGTGTACGATTACATTCCTCCCACTCCATACATGGAAAAAAGATTGGAATACTTTACTGCATTGTATAAGCTAGGCTTTTGGGAATAAACATTATTATATGTATAGTTAGTATGTAGATAGGATAATATTACACTTATTGTTGATGGCCCTTATCTGTAAAATTTGCATTTTGTATGGAGAATTTAACGAAAATGTTTACTAACAACTAAATACTAACATTTTTGCAAAACTAGCAAGAAGCCCGAAGTCTGTAAAAAAACGCGAATCCAGCACGCGGCCATATTATCAAGTGGTCTCATAAGGTCAATATTATGAGTGGACTACTTAGATAATGAAATATACTAAGTACTTATATCAAAAATAATGTTATTAAATGTAGGTATTGTTGTGAAAATAAAATAATAATTATTGTGAAAACCTTAATTATGTTTTTTGTTTCAAATTGTGGTTTTCACGGGTATTGCGCAAATGCATTGACATTTTAATAAATACATAAATATATTATTTTTATTTATTAACGCGTCCTTGCTACAATGTTTGCAAGCGACACGTCTTCAAAAATTACGAGCCACTCTGGAATCGTCTTCAGTAATTGAACGTTTATAATAATCGGATAAGGATTGAGAAAAAATCAAATAAAAATTTGGCATACTTATGTAAGTACGATGACAATGCAATGTTATAGTACCATTGAGCTGGTCTGATGATGGAGTCAGGACTTGGCCATAGGAACTCCTAAACGAAACGGCGGAACCTCATCGAGTTTGGGTTCGTTGGATTTGTCTTTTCGAGCACTTTAGTGCTAGATTATCTCCAGGGCTCTGAGATTGAGATACAACTAAAGTGCAAAATAAAATTATAATAAAAAAAAACTTTTTTAAAAACAAGCTTTGTTCTGAAATGCAGTTGTACTAAAATGAAAAAAATAATTGTATGCTAGGTTTAAATTAATAATTTCGAAAGCTTGTAGCGCAAACAGAAAAGAAGAGGAATAAATTCCATGCGAAATGTTGTTTACATGTCTCGATCAATTTCCTCTATAAAGAAAAATAATCACGTCCATATTCACAAACGAAAGCAGCAAATCGAACGCACAGAGTTTAATAGAGCTCTGTGATTGGTTCGTGTGTTACCCTGTGCGTCCACGCGCACTGTGAGACCTCATAGTAATGTTTGTGAATACGGGTGTGGATTATCTTTTGTGTTATTTCCTTGTTCCTTCCTTCGTTCGTTCGTTCGTTTCAGCCGAAAGACGTCCACTGCTGGACAAAGGCAAGGATTTCCACGAAGACCGATCATGCGCCGCTCGCATCCAGGCACCTCCCGCGACCTTCGCCAGATCGTCGCTCCACCTAGTGGGAGGCCTGCCCACGCTACGTCTTTCGACTCGTGGTCGCCACTCAAGAACTTTCCTGCCCCAGCGGCCATCAGCTCTACGAGCTATGTGCCCCGCCCACTGCCACTTTATTTTAGCGATTCAGCGGGCTAAAAACTTGTTCCTTCCTAAAAACCCTCAATTTTTTTTTTCAATATTGGTTCACTTTTGGGATATGAGTGTCCTTAAACAAAAATATTGCAAATGACCATTTAATTCTCTATTTTAATGTTATTTTTAAGTTTTTGCAACGCCTTCACTGGGCGTCACATGTTCAATATTATGTTCCTGTCAACCCTTACCCATGTGACATGCAATAAATAATTTGAATTTGAATTTGAATTTGACCTTACAGCACAGAATAAGTAATCTTACAGTCAAGATCTCGCTGAAGTTCAGAAGTCGTCTCATTGAAAAACAGTTCTAAATCCGTATTCACAAGAGTCATTTTTGATAGAACGATTACTCGATAGGATCGCAACTCAGTGTTTTGTTGTCTTTGAAGTTTTGTTACGTGAATAAGGCTACTGTACCACAGAATAATTACCTGTACTATAACCGCAGTGCTATAACTCCTTACAAGATTATGGTCTAATTCCATCCAAGTCACCCTGTTTATAAACGCGAAATACCACTCACTGATCAATCTCAGAAACAAAAACACCTACAAACTTGTTTGGCAAGTAGGTACCTAGGTTCCTTATAGAGTGTAGACATTCGCTAAGAACGGACTTACAGATAACTTTTTAAAAAAATAAAACCGACTTCAAATGCGTGAACACAAAAAAAAACTAAAAATTAAAAATATTGCGTATAAAAAAGTTCAACCCCAATTTTCCACCCTTGGGGGTGAAATATTTTCTTCAAATTCGCATGAAACCACCCTTTTGATAATACCTATTCAACAAAAAAATAATCGTTCAAATCTAAATATATAAAAGGAGAAACTGACTGACTGACTGACAACGCACAGCCTAAACGGCTAAACGTAGGCACTTGAAATTTGGAAGGGACGTAGCTTAGGTACCGTAGAGGTGCACTAAGAAAGGAATTTCCGAAATTCCCACGGGAGCGGGAAAAACGGGATTCACGCGTACGAAGTCGCGGGCGGCCGCTAGTTGATTTATAATCGGCGGAGATATTGCGTATAAAAAAGTTCATCCCCAATTTTCCACCCTTGGGGGTTGTTTTTTCTATTATTAAATTTAAATGGGACCACCCTTGAGGTATTACCTATACGCCAAAAAAAGATTTGTTCAAATCGGTTCATAATTGGCGGAGTTATCGCGTAACAAACATAGAAAAAAAAAAACATACGGGTCGAATTGATAACCTCCTCCTTTTTTGAAGTCGGTTGAAAATAATAGTACTGCATAGTGAATAATATTTGCATAACTGCTTCCCATTTTAAAATTATTGAGAACTCATTATCACATTATTTCAATAGTTTTTCCATTGACATTAATAATGTCTTCTGTACGACTACTTACCTACTTATTTTTAACTTCGGTTCTTTGTTGGGCATTTCTTTGAGAATGCGCTTAATAATGTTCCCCTAAAAACAGTCCCTGCTAACACTAATATTATAAAGAGGAAAGGAAAAGAAAAAGTACTTAACTCAAAATAATATTTTGGGCAATTGTTAAGGATTTTCTTCACTGGATGCGGTCTACTTTTTGGTATCAATTTAAGAATGGCCCAACTACGAGTAACAATGGAAAACAGTTGCGTTCATGTCAATATAGTAAATTGCAAAATAATATGCGTTTAATAAAGTGCTTAATATGTAAATTTTCATGTATTAACTTTATTAAGTATTATTTTATCGTCGGAGATCGTTTACTGTTCACTGTATTTCAAGATGAGTACTACCAAAGTATTAATAGTGGCAATGGTGTATTTTTCTAGTAAGTATTTTTTACCATTTTCGTAGATAATAACTAGGCTTCCAAGGATTTCCACAACGACCGGTCCTGCCCTCATTCAGGTACTTCCCGCGACCATCACCAGATAGTCGGTCCACCTAGTGGAGGGCCTGCCAAAGTGCCCACATGACGTCTTCCAGCCTGTGGTCGCCACTCGACAACTTTTCTGCCCCAGCGGCCATAATCTCTACCAGCTATGTGGTCTGCCCACTGCCACTCGATTTTAGCAATTCTGCGGCCTGTAATATTAGTACTCTGTTACAGCGTGCCACGCCGCCATTCCGGATCTAACTGGTTGTGAAGTGGCCGCCAAGACCGAGCAGGGGTATGTGTGTGGGAGGATCAGAAACGCCACCAATGGGGCGAAATACGCCAGCTTCAGAGGAATGCAATATGGGACGCAGCCGCTAGGGGAACTCCGATTCATGGTACTTATTTTCAACCGACTTCAAAAAAGGAGGAGGTTCTCAATTCGACCCGTATGTTTTTTTTTTTCTATGTTTGTTACGCGATAACTCCGCCAATTATGAACCGATTTGAACAAATCTTTTTTCGGCTTATAGGTAATACCTAGTGTTTGCTCCCGGGAAATCCCGGTACTCATTTTTCCCGGGAATTCCCGATAATCTAATCATTTATCTAGTTCCGGTACTGACGATGCAATTCCCGGGACTTTCGGTACTTTCGGGACTTCAATAATTTATTTTTAATAACAATTTTTTGACTAGATGCCATCATCTTTTTACGTACAGACTATCAACAAATGAAAATAGAAATATTAATAATGTTCCTAATTCATTAACTATCCTTTTAAGACTGATTGTTTTATCTGATTGTACTTAGATACTACTTATTATTTCTTTCAACAGCGTGTTTTTTTATAAACCTAATTTAGTAAATTTATGTTTCGTCCCTAAGAGTAGGCGCACACCGTTGATTTTTCGTCGGCCGATAGTTTAGTCGGGCAGTTGATCAGTATGGGCATGTATGGGAGTGCGCACACTACGCCGATTCGATTTGGCAGATTCTTCATACAAATTAAAATCGGGCACAACTATCGGCCAACTAAAAATCAACGGTGTGCGCCTACTCTAACTCTTGTCGCTGCCAGTATTTGACAATTTTGACATTGATAGAAAGTGAGAAAACATATTTTAACTAAAATAGGTTGATTAAACGATTGTTGCTTTTTATGAATATGGCGGTTATGATTTTTAATAGTCGTGTTGTGTAACTGTTTGGACTGATTTATTATTAAGGTAACAAACCAATTGAACAGAACCGAAAAAGTTTAATATTTTTGTTAACCTATTTACATTTTTATTAAAATTACGTACAAATTAGGTAATTTGTTTTAATAAATAATAACCATTCACGTGGGTACCGAAATTCCCGAATTTCCCGGTATTCCCGGTACTGGCTTAGACCTGGTACCGGGAATTCAGTAACACTCCTTAGTACCGGGACTTGCAACCCCTAGTAATACCTCAAGGGTGGTCCCATTTAAATTTAATAATAGAAAAAACAACCCCCAAGGGTGGAAAATTGGGGATGAACTTTTTTATACGCAATATCTCCGCCGATTATAAATCAATTTGAACGATTATTTTTTTGTTGAATAGGTATTATCAAAAGGGTGGTTTCATGCGAATTTGAAGAAAATATTTCACCCCCAAGGGTGGAAAATTGGGGATGAACTTTTTTATACGCAATATTTTTAATTTTTAGTTTTTTTTTGTGTTCACGCATTTGAAGTCGGTTTTATTTTTTTAAAAAGTTAATTATTGCTTACCTGATACCTGAAGGTAATGGTTTACTTTGTCTTTAGGATCCAGATACAAACAATTGTACTTTGTGAATAAAGAACTGCAATTCGACCTATTCCAGGAACTACTACCACCTTCATCTTTTGACGGACTCTTCAACGCTACAGAGGCCGGCCCAATTTGCGCCCAAGTGGATGTTTTCTACACGCCAAATAACCTCGTGGCTCCCCTGTCCAGCGGCGAAGACTGCATCCGCATCAAC